CCTCCCTCTCCTCCCGCCCCCAGGTGGTCAAGGCCAGCGTGCCGCTGTCGGAGATGTTCAACTACGTGTCCACGCTGCGCGGCATGTCCAAGGGGCGCGCGCAGTACACGATGCAGCTGGAGAAGTACGAGGTGGTGCCCAGCCATATCCAGGAGAAGATCGTGGCCGACGCCAAGGTGGCCGCCGCCTCCTGAGCGCGCGCCACGTGGCGGGCCGGGCAGCTGGCGGCCGGCGGCCTGGCCAGGCTGAGGCGGCAGCCGCGCGGCAACGCCGCGGCCTGGCTGGTCGCGCAGCCCGGGCAAGCCTGCGAGCGGCGCGCCCGGTATTCTTTCCACTCACCCCATTGCCCCCCCAGCCTCTCCACAGCACGACGCGCCGTTCCCTTATTGACAGCAACACTCGTAGCATAGATGCCGCCACCTTCCCTTCCCCTTCCCGCCCTGGGTGCCGGCTGGCGCTTATTGCGCGCCCGCTCGCCGCCCCGACCCCCCTTGATTTCATTGCTCCTCCACTTGCCTTTTTGTCAGCTCGAGTTTTGATGCACCACGCTCTGTCTGCCACCGCGGGGGCGCTTTACCACTGTGAATTTGTCAGTCGTCCCTGCCTGCAACATTGGGGCGCTTGCAGGCTGCCGCGGCGGCGGTGGCCAAAGGATGAACGCAGCTGGTTATGGCTGTCAGCCTGGCAGCACTGTCAGGGAAGGTATGAGATGCCATACACACACCAGCGCCGATCGATCGGCTGCAGTTTGCCAGATTGATGCTGGGACATGTGCCGGACCGGCGGGACGGCGCGGCGGGCACAGCAGGCGCAGAAACAGTTTACCAACCAGGTACCCAGTCCTCCAACCGCGTGTCAGGCCCGAGGCACCTGTGGCTTTTAAGCATCTGTTGAGGTGAGCGTCGGCCATGCCGCGGCACGGCCTGAAGCCGTGCCTGACTTAGGAACTGGCGCTGCGCACACATGACATGCTTCTTCACAGCAAGGACTGGAACAACCCGTGTTCACCGTGGCTTGTGCTTGAGGGAGCGCTTCTGGCAAGCCCAGGGCGGGTGAGCACCCCCCGCGGCCCCTTTACTGGCCTTCGCCTTGCCCCACTGCAGCCCCTTCTCGAAACAACTTCACTCATGATGCGCGGATTGAGTCCTGCGCTGCCGGTTATTGTGGTGGTAGCTGCGGCGCTGCTGGTGCCCTCGGCAGCTGCCGCCCGCTTATGCTTGAGTGGCGGCAAACCAGTGGCGTGCCCCGAGGCATCATCATGCGAAGGACTTCCAATCTACAACATTGCGTCTCTGGAACTGGATAATGGCGATGACGTCGTGCAGGTGAGGCCACCGCTCAGTGCGTGAGTTTTCGGGGAGCCTGTTGCGCCCCGCAGCTGTCACGCCCCGACTTGCACTGCTTCCGCCTGCAGGTCAAGTCAACCCAGGAGTGCTGCCGCTTGTGCAACACTATTTCGGATTGCGGTGCGCACAATGGTGCCAGCTGGTGTGCGCGCCTGTGGTCGCCCCCCGCTTGTGCTCCACCTGCCCTCCGCTGCCTGACTGCGCTCCCGACCCGTCCCTGACTGCTGTTCGCGCAGTGTTCTGGCAGACCCAGCCTCTTCTTGGCACAGGAACGTATTATTGCCAGCTGTCGGGCCCTGGTTCAGTGGTGCCTGCCCTGAACAGCGGAGGCACGGATCCCGACGCCTTTATCGTCGGAAACTGGAAGTGCCCGCGGTGCAACGCTCCTGGCTCGGGCGGCGCCTGCGGTGAGCGGCTGCCCCCAACCAGCAGTGGGCCAGGGGCGGTCATGGTGTACAGCACCTGCAACGCCTTCGAGCCGACTTACCCTTGCTGCCCTGGGCTGCCATGGCGTGGCAGCGGCGGCGGCAGCACACCGACCGCTGATGGCCTTGGCCTCCCGATTGTGTGTGTGCAGGCGCCCAAGACAGGCGCATTGCCACCCTGGAGCGACGCGTCGCCGTGCTGAACAAGGCGACGCACATCTGCAGGGTCCGGCTCTTCAACGCCTACAAAAGTGGGTGCTGGGGCAATGCTGCAGCTGAGGCAGGCAGTCCAGGAGGCTGCCGCCAGCGCCGCGTTGCCAACGCAGCGGCTGCGTTGCTTGGTGGTGAACCTTGCCAGATGGTTGACATGAATCCCCTGCGCCGGCGCCTTGCAGAACTGAACAAGTGCAGGGCAGTGGGCTGAAGAGGGTGCACTTGCACCCCAAGAAAACATCCCAGTGTCCTGGCTGCCTTCGTGGCCACCCGCCCGGTGTTGACCCCAGGCAGACAACGCAGGCATCCCCTGATGATATGCCAGGCAGCGATGGCGCCCATGGTGCAGTGGCGAACAAGCACACACCTGCGCGCCTCCATCTCCCGTGATACCGCTACTGGTACATACCAGGTATACCATCCCAATGACTCCGTCCGTGCTCCTCCAACTGCTTTTTGTCAGGCCGAATGACGATGCACCCACGCCATCACCTCCCTCTGCTCTGTGACTACCTACCCCTGGATTGCAACCATCTGCTTATACATGTCGCCTATGCCAGTTTGTGCTATTGGGAGGACATGTGACGCAACTGAGAACAGCTCCAAAGGCAGCTCCCTGGTTCAACTCGAAGCCCTGCGGCTGCAGCTGCTGCGCACCTGACTTCAGGCCGCTGCTGCAGGCTCCTGCCGCTCGCGCGCCCGTGCCACCGCCAGCGTCTGCTCTGCAATCTCCAGCTGCTCGTCAGCAGGAAGCACCAGCACCTGCCAGTGCTCGATGGGAGAGAGGCGGGGGCATCAGCTGTGTGCACCAAGTCACCAAGCGACAGGTAGTCATCGCAAGCGGGCGACGAGAATCAGCAGGGTGCCTCCCCAGCTCCCCCCAGCTGCGCCGCACCTTGACCCTGCTGCCCGCTGCCTGCACCTCCCCCGCCTTGCCCCTGACGGTGGCGTCATTGGCGGCGCGGTCTATCTCTATGCCCGCCCACTCCAGGCCCGAGAGGGCGATCTCGCGTAGCATTGAGCCATTTTCGCCGATGCCTGCAGCGCGCCAGCTGGACAAGTCTTGCTCAGCGGGAGGTCTTGCAAAGCACCCACAGGCCAGCCACAGACACTCTGCAACGCAGGCAGAGCGGCACCCTGCTCTCCACGCTCATCCCACACCCCCTCTGCCCGACTCTGCAGCCGCTCGAGGGACGCTCTGCAGGTGCTGCTCTGGAGCTCTGCCGCCGCTGCCAGCCGGCTGCGACTCGAGGCCGGCGAGCGGCCCGGCCTTGTGCCTTGCCTGCCGAAAAGACGATGGCGTCCACCTGGCCGCCAAGGTCGACGAGGAAAGCGCCCAGGTACTTGCGCAGGCGGCGCAGGTAGACAGCCAGCGCCAGCTGGCACGCCTCGTCCCCAGCCAGCGCCCGGTCCTCCACACTGCGCACATCGATGTTGCCTGCCGCAGCGGCGGCAGCAGTCGAAGCAGCGGCGTGGGATGCCGTGTCAGCAGCAGCGGCGTCGGCGGGCACACCGGGTGCCGCATCTAACTTAGTAGGCTAGCTGAGGGCGCAGGTCCGCTGGCAGGTAGCAATGCAGCATGCCCCTGTGGGCCTGCCCTGGCGGACCCCACCGCTCTCTACCATCCCATGCGACGGCCGGGCAGGCTGCACATGCCCAGCGCTGCAGAAGCCAGCCGGCACGCCGTGCAGACGCCGTGACCTCCCGCATCAGACCAGCTGCAGCTTCCTGCAGCTGGCGTGCGGCCTAACCAGCGCCTGCTGGCGCCGGCCGGCGCACCCGTCATGCCCAGGAAGCCGCTGCGCTTGTTCATCATGTCTTCCACCTCGCCCGCATTCCACCCGTGGCCGATTAAGAAGGGCACGATTGCTGGGTCGATGTCGCCTGCAGCAGGAGAGCCAGAAAGATGCCCAGTGGTAGCCAGCAGCTGGGCACGAGAGGTTGGGAGGTGACATCACGGCAGCATGGCGGTGCGCGCCGCTCACACACGCCACAGCTGACGACAGCACCGCCAAACCAGCCAAGGTCGCGCGGCAGTCGGTAGTGCAGCGGTTGGCGGCGCAGCGCACCGCAGCGCGAGCCCATCATCAGGCCCTCCAGTGGTGTGAGCCCCATTGTGGTGTTGACCGAGCGCCCGCCCTGCACCGCGCACATGCTGTTGCCGGCGCCTGCGGCGGCCACGGGAGGCAGGCTGGCAGGGCCACCGGTCACAGCACAGCTCTGTGGAGACAACTGGCAGTTGACGAGCCCCCGCACTGCTGCAGTACACAGCACAGCTGCGTCAGCGCTGCTGCCGTGCGCCGCCGACCCGCCCAGGGTGCCGGCCGGGTCAGCAGCCTGGCCCCGCCCATCCCCGCTGCCTATCTCACCCAGGTGGCAGATGATGAGGTTGGTGTGCTCCGGCGGCTTGCCCAGCATGCGGGCCGCCTCCTTTGTTAGGTGCGAGTAGCTGATGCCGTGGAAGCCTGCGTCGGTGTGTCAGCAGTGGAAAGGAGTGGAGAGCAGTGCGGCAGTACACGCTCTGAAGCCCTGCCTGTGCCATGGCTGGGGGCGGGCTCAGGCTCGCACGGCCCACGCCGGCTGCCGGCCAGGCTGCCTGCCGGCCAGGCAGCGCCGGAGCATGCCCATGCAGTGCAGGCGGTGCCTGCGGCGGCGGCAGTCCCAGCAGAGGCCCCACCGTAGCGGCGGATGCCGTGCTGCCTGCACAGGTCTGTGGGCAGGGCGTAGGTGTAGGCTTCAGGGGGCATGGTCTGGTGGAAGGTGGTGTCAAACACGGCCACCTGCGCATGGGGGCAGGTGTGCGCTGCAGGTGGGCTCAGCAGGTGGGCTCAGCAGGCCGGCAGGGACCTGAGTGTCTAACAACTTCCAGCCCGCTGCACAGCCTCGGCCTGGCCCCAGCTCAGCTCACGTGAGGGGAGTCGGGGAACAGGCTCCTCGCCGCGTCGATGCAGTGCAGGCTGGGCGGGTTGTGCAGCGGCGCCAGCCTGCTGGCCTCCTCCACAGCGCCGCGTGTGCGCTCGCTGCGGCGGGCACGGCAGCGGCACTGGCAGTGGGCATCTGCTCGCTCGCGTGGTGGAGACAGGCTTGCGACGCGCATCCCACGGGCGTGCCATCCACAGCCAGCCAGTGCATATCTCCCAGCAGCTGGAGCGCTGCCCACACCCCCAGCCTGCTCACTCGATCAGCACCGACTCGCCGATGGTGCCGCCGTGCACCACGCGGTGGCCCACCCCCAGCACTTGGTGCGGGAAGGCGGGGGAGAAGGCTGCGGCCAGGAAGCGCGACACCTGGCGCAGCGCGGCGCGGTGGTCGGGCAGCGGCTCCGTCACGCGCTCGCCCTCGCGCCACCGGTCGGAGCCGGCCACTGCCTGCACGCAAACAGGCGTTCCCACGCTGCTTGCAATTGCTGGCGTCGAGGACGGAGTCAGCAGGCGCAGAGGCGCGGCGTGGGAGGGTGGCAGGCACGCAGGGGGCGCACCCGCATCACGGCGCCGCCGGCGGGGTCGCCGATGCACTCGCACAGCCCTGCCGCGATGGGCTGCAGTGACGGGGCGCCGGCAGCTGGTCCTGGGCCGCCGCCGCTCCCTGCCCCTCCCACCCCAAAAACCTTGAACTTGAGCGAGCTGGAGCCGGCATGGAGGACCAGCAGCTTGGTGCGAGCCGCCATGGTGGCTCGGCAGGGCGAACAAGGCCATTGGAGCACCCTCCCTGCGCTGAAAGCCCGTTGGGCACAGCACAGCATGGCACAGCATACTACGACACAGGCGGCATTGGGATGAAGGCGGCCCGTGCAGTCTTCTCCACACCCTGAGCCTCACCCGGTGCTGCTGCCCAGTAATGCTGCGCATTTGCCTGCTTTTGTTTGGCCATGTCGAAGTGATCAATCGACCAGGTCGAAAGAATGTGACCCGGCTGTTGGGTGTCCCGGGAAGGCTTGGGAACGCGCCAGGTTTGGGTCAAGAGCGGCTGTACTGCTGGGCTGTCCTGCGCTGCGATGGCGAGCAACAAGGCCGCCCCATGCGCACAACAAGCTCCTGCAAATTGGACACCATCGCCAAGCACCCAAATAGCGCCTTTGACTGGCCCCTCTCTCCAAGTCTCACATGAACGCACCCCCTCCAGCCTTACAGTCGCTAGCCTTGCTGTTCAATTTCGAGCACGCCGTATAGCAGCAACTATGGGTGGTTCCCTGGGGGACCCCCCCCCCACCGGTGCCATTGCCTACCGACTAGCGCCCCTGTTCTTCACTCACATAAACCAGGTGAGCGTGGGCGACTGGGACCCGCCTGCCCGCATCGGGCAGCGGGCTGGAAGGTGGGGAGAGCAGCAGGCAAGGCAGCGCGTTGCCGCAACGGGACTTGCGCCCCGGACTTGTGCCCGCGCCCTGCTGAGCTCCCTCCCCAGCTCCACCCCAACCATCCACCCTGCCGCCCTGTTCTCGCAGGCCCTGCTCACCACCCTGCCCTTTGCGGTCGCCGTCTACATGGTGCGCGACTTTGAGGCCGCCAGGAGCGGGGGCGCCGCCGTCAGCGAGCAGGCGGTGGGGCGCGCCACGGGCCTGCTGGCCGCCGTCTTCTGCGCCGCCCAGCTGCTCACCAGCTTCCCCTGGGGCCTCGTGTCGGACCGCATCGGCCGCAAGGTGGGGCGGCCATGGAGTTTGCTGTGGGTCGTGAGCGAGTCAGGCGAGGTTGGAGGGTGTCACCCACCCACCCACCTGCCCAACCACCATGCACACACCCATCACCACCATCGAGCCACACACCTGCACAAGCACACCCTTGCTCCCTGCCGCCCGCGCCCCTCCTGCAGCCCGTGATGGTGGTCGGCAACGTCTCCTGCGTTGTCTCTGTGCTGCTGTTTGGCCTGTCCGGCTCCTACTGGCAGGCGGTGGGGGCGCGGGCGGTGGGCGGCGCCCTCAACGCAGTCATCCTGGTGGAAAAGGCCATGATCGGTACGCCCTGCACCTCCTGCGCTTGCATGCATGGTCGGGTCGGCACATTCCGGGCACATTCCTCGCGACAGCTCCTGCGTGTGTGTGTGTGCGCGCGCGCGTGGCTGCCTGCGGTGGGCGGCCGGTGGCGGGAGGAGCCGAGCAGGTGCAGCGGACGTGCGCGGCGGGCGCCGGCGGTGGCGCGCTGCTCGGCGTGCCGCCCTGCTCACCCCTGTTCCCTGGCGGCTGTGCCTGGCGCAGGGGAGGGGCTGCCGTGCAACGACTCCCAGGCCAAGGCCTTTGGGCTCATGTCGCTGTGCTGGGGCCTGGGCAGCCTGGCGGGGCCGGCCGTGGGCGGCGCGCTGTCGGCCCCCTGCAGCAGCGGGCTGCGGATACAGGCCCTGTGCGGAGAGGGCAGCCTGCTGGTGCACAGGTGGAGGGCGGCCTGCTGCGCCTGCTGCGCCTGCCGCGCCTGCTGCGCCTGCCGCACGCCAGCCCAGCGAGCCCGCCGGCGTTGCCAGCTGTTGCAGCATGCTCACGCTGCCACGCTGGCTGCTGGCTGCTGGCTGCTGGCAGGCGCTGACAGTGCCACGCTGCACTTTCCCTGCCGCCTGCCTCTACAGGCCTTACTTCCTGCCCTGCCTGCTGGCGGGCGTGCTGTCAGCGATCGCAACCATCATGACCATAGTCGGCCTGGAGGAGACGCTGCCCAGCCGCCGCACCGCAGCTCCCGCACCTGGCAGAGCAGGCGGCGGCGGCGGCAAGGCGCGGTACGAGGCTGTGCCTACGGCGGACGCAGGCGAGGCGGCGGCGCCAGGAGGGCTCGGAGAGGTTGAACTGGGAGGGCTGCGGCGGCAGGACAGCAGCCAAGGCGGCGGCTTGTGGGGCGGGAGCGACGGCGGGGACGGCGGCAGCCCTGGCAAGGCGCCGTGCGGCGGCAGGGACAAGGGGCGGCCGTTCAGAGGCGACAGCGCCAGGATCCGGGCGGCTTGGGGGCAGCCGTCGCCGCCGCCTCCTGCTCCCGGCAGCGACGCGGGCAGTGGCGCAGGCAGCAGGCGAGGCAGCAGCCGCGGCAGCCTGGGCAGCTTGGAGGCAGATGTTGTGGTGCTGGGCCCAGGAGACTTGGAGCAGGGGCAGGAGCGGCAGGAACAGGGCAGGCTGCTGGCTGGCGGGGCCACCGCCGCAGAGGCAGCGTCGGAGGCAGCGCCGGCGCAGGCGGCGGCGCCCGCGGCAGATCTGCCATGGTACCGTCAGCGCACCGTGGTGCTGTCTCTACTAGGCTATGGGCTGATCGCCTTTGTGTTCAACATGCTGGGTGAGTGGGGAGCGGTGGGGGGGCAGCCGGGAAGGGCAGCAGGGGTGGCAGGGAACATAGTGGAGCTGGCTGCCGGGCCGCATCGGGAGCCCGGGTGCTGCTCCAATGAAAGTTTGAATGAGCAGCACTGGTTTGACACCCTGTTTTCCCCCGGCAGCTTCCCTCAGCACCGCCACTCTCCCAGCCCCGTCCTCTAAACATGAACATAGTCTAAAACTCCGCGGCGGCCTGATCCTGCCTGCAGACGAGGTGACCCCCATCTTTGCGTCGGCAGAGGTGTCGGAGGGCGGGCTGGGCTTCGCCCCCAGCCAGCTGGCGCCCTCGCTGTCGTTTGGCGGCCTGGTGCTGGTGTGCTGGGCGCTGCTGGGCTTCCCCTGGCTCATGCGGTGGGTGTGGGGCGGCGCGGGGTGCTGCCTCCTCCACACGTCTCAGCCGCATGCACGGCGCAGCCGCACGCACGGGCACAGGCGTTGCCGCCCCGCATCTGGCGCGCCGCGCTGCGCTGCACATGCCTGCTCGTGGTGCTGCCGGCACGGCCCCTGGGTCTGATAGTGTCAGTCGAATTGACCCCCCATGATTTGATCCTTTGACCCTGCTTCATTTGACCCCTCACACCATGCCCGCCCTGCTCGCTGTGCAGGCGCGTGGGCGTGGTCAAGGCGCTGCGGCTGGGCCTGTGGCAGACCGCCCCGCTGGCGCTGCTCATCCCCGCCGCCTCGCTGTTCCGCGGAGGCGCGCTGCCTAGCCAGGCGCTCATGCTGCTGTGCATGGGAGCCAAGGCCGTCACCGCCACCAACGCTTTCACCTCCTGCCTCATCCTGGTCAATGCCTCGGCCCCCAGGGCGGCGCTGGGGGCCGTCAATGGCACCGGCCAGTCGCTGGCCAGCTTTGTGCGGGCGCTGGGGCCCGCGCTGGGCGGCCTGAGCTGGGGGTGGAGCCACCAGCTGGCGGCGGCGGCCTGGTGGCCCGCCTGGCTGCCCCCGCAGTTCATGCCCTTTGCCGCCGCCGCCACGGTGCTGTTTGCCACGGACGCTGTGTACCGCGGGCTGCGGCTGCCAGATGCAGATGAGCCGGGGGGCGGCGGCGGGCGGCGGTAACACACCCGAATGTGAACCTCCTCCTTTTGGTTGAACACTTCTAATTCTTCAGTTCATTTCATGCCTCCCTCTCTCGGCCATATTTCATTCTCAGTCGCCTTTTGATTCTTTCAGAGTTGCTGTTGTGTGCGTGCCTGCTCATCTCCCCGTTGCTGTCCCGCCCCCAACCGCCTTCTGATCCCAGCCAGGCCACAACACTGTCCCGGCGGCAGCCCCTGTAATTCCCTACTACTGTCATTCAGTGCAAGCACGGTAAACCTCTGTGTTGCGCAGAGGGAACCTGTCCCACTCACCCGCCAGGTGCACGCAGCGCCTGCCAGCCGGGCGGTCACAGCCATTGCCTTGGACGCCGTTTTTGCGGCTCTGCAGCAGTCTGCAGCAGTGCCAGAGCACAGAGTGCCACCATGGAGCGCGCCTGGAGCACCCGCACGCACCAGCACGTCAAGGAGGCGTGCGAGAATGGCAGCGCCATGATCGAAAAGCTCTCCAAGCTGTCGGGCAAGTGTGGCTGGCCGTCGGATCGCGGCAGGCGGCAGTGGCGGCACCCTGCGGGCGACGCCAGGGCCCATCGCCGCCTGAATTTCCCCCGCCTCTCGCTGCCGCGGACCGCCTTCTCCTCGCCAAGCTGCATCTTGTCGAAAACCTGCAACACTGCTTACCAGCCTGCCAGCCTGGTGAAGCTCCCTGCCTGCTATGATTTCCTTGCGCCTGCAGCCCAGGTGTACAGCGTGGCGCACGCCTTCCCCACCTATGCCGGCCACGTGCCGCTGACAGGTGGGCTGCAGCCGCCCGCGCCGCCTTGCGCCGCACACGCTCTTGCCTGCCGCGCCTGGTGCAGCTATGTGCGCCACGGGCTGCCCCGGCCGCCTGCTGCAGAGTACGGCACCCAGGAGGGCGTCCCCAACAAGCTCTACTTTGTGCCCCATGCCAAGGCGCGCGCCTCTCTGCCCCCGCTGGCCGACCGGCTGGCTGGGCTGGCGGGTTGGATGCTCCTCGGATGCTGTGCCTGCACAGCCGACAGCTCTGTCCCGCCTGCTGTCAGAGCGTGCAGCCCGCCTCCCCCGGGACCACTAGCACACATTCCGGAAGCGACCGGGCTCCCCAGCCCTGCATGCACTCCGACCAAACCGACGGAGCCGCTGCTCCACGTCCCGCCGCCGCCGCCACTGCTTCAGGCGCTCATCTTCTACCGCAGCGTGAAGGCTGGCATCCTGCTGGGGCTGGAGCAGGGGCAGGGCTTTGTGATTGCCAGGTGGGCGGGCGCGGCGCTGTGGCTGCCAGGAGGGGCGCGTTGTGCGGTTGCCGGAGAGATTGGTTTTTAGACGGTTGAAGAGGCGAGGCGCCTCTCACGGCGCCGGCCCGTCTCACCAGCACCCCGTGCCCGCTCCTCTCCCGCGCCCGTGCAGGCTGGGCGGGCCCACCAGCAACAAGTGGAGCGCGCCCGCCTTTGTGCGTGTGACGGGTGTGGAGCTGGGCCTGGTGGCGGGCATGGACAGGGTGAGGCGGGGTGGGGCGGCGCGCCCGCGCCTGGCCGCTGCCTGCATGGCGCCTGCGGAGCGCCGGGACCCCACGCCCTTTTACGCGTTGAACCCAGCCCGCCGCCGCCAGGCTATGTGTGCCTGGCCCCTGCCCCTGCCCTGCCTAAACGCACACTTAACGCCCACTGGCAGGCGGAGACGCTGGTGGGGGTGATGTCTGACCGCGCGCTGGATGCCCTCATCGACTCGGAGGCCAAGTTCAACATGTCCTCAAACTGGTGGGCCCTGACCGCGCCGCCACGTGGCCGAGCATGCTGCCCCGCCGCCGCGCCACGCGGCCATGCATGCTGCGCAGCCTGGTTTGAGGGCTGCGCGCTCGGCGTGCCCACACGCCGCGCGCGCTTGCCTCCTGTACTGCCCCTGTACTGCCATGCCGTAGGAACTTTGAGATCACTCCGCTGGAGGAGAACAAGGAGGGCGGGTGGGGCCGGGCCGGAGGGTGCCCTGCTGGGGGCTGCCTGGAAGCCTGCTTGGAAGGCAGCCTGGGGGGCTGAGCTGAGCCTGGCCGCTGGGGGGTGGCCTGCCACCGTGGCATGTCCGCATGTGCAGGCAGCCGGTGCGAGCGCTCCTTCTCTGCGGCGGTTCCTGCCATCGGGCTGCCCCCTCACCACCACCACCACCTGGCGCGTTGCCCTGCAGCCCCAACCCCCAATGGATCTTCAACACCGACTTCACCTCTACCTCCGTGGGCAAGGGCATCATGGCTGACGTGGCGCTGCAGGTGGGGGCTGTGGGTGGCCTCTGCCTGGGGAGGCAGGAGGCTCTGCGGGTTGTGATAATAGCAGGGCTGGAGCTCGCCATTAAGACGCCTTGGGGGGAGGCGCTCTGAGCAGGCCAGGGCCCTGCAGCACGACGCCGCCTGCCTCCTGCCAGGCTGGCAGCAGGCCGGGCGGCCGGGCGCGCGCGTGTCCCGAGCGGCTGGCCGTCCAGGCCCTCACCAGCCAGACCCGCTGCCTGAGCATGGCCCCAAACCGCCGCTGCAACAACAAGGGCTAAAAGGAGGGCTCTCGGACCATGCAGGGCACCCGCATCTACTTTGACACCTACTGGAACGACCACTGCTACGGCACCAGCAGGGCCGCCGACGTGAGCGCCCTGCCCGCCTGCCTGCTGCTGTGCCTTGGCCTGGGGGCCCGACGCGGGGCCCGACACCAACACCAGGCTGCGGAAGCCTGCCCTGGGGTTTGAGGCATGGTTCGGGGGTCGGTTTGGTTGTCCCGGTGGGTGGACAGCGGGAGGTGGCCGCCGGCTGGTGGTCTGCCCCTGAGCCTGCCTGCTGCGCCTGGCGCCCCGGCTGCAGATCCTGCGAGGCAGCGTGGAGCCTCCCCCCGAGCTGTCTGTGATGACCGACAAGCTGCTGGCCTGCTGCTCGCCCCAGCTGGCGGGCATCAACCAGCCCCTTCGCCCCTCCATGTTTGGCCCCGGGGAGGTGGAGCCAGGCGCCGCCCAGACCACCACCACCACCCCGGTGCAGGCGCCGGTGTCGCCCTCCCCGGCGGCCGTCCGCTAGGCGGCACGCTGCAGCAGCAGGGCTGGCAGCTGGCGCAACACCGTGCTGACAACGGAAAACTGGGCCTTTGCGCGGCCGGCGCTGCTTCTCACTAATGCAGCTCCATGTTTGCAGCGAGGCCGCCTGCTGTTGTACAATGGACAACCTGTCACCATGCCTTTTGTTGCTTCACCCACCCCCGACTGCTGATCTGATCGATCTGAATTGTGGCCATGGTGTTTACAATCGGGAGAGAGAGAAAGACGAGGGATCAATTAGATAGGATTGGACTTGGGTTTACTTCACAACGGCGCCATCGGCGCCAGCTGCGGCACGAGCCGGCGGGCGCGAGCACAGCTCACTCAAACAACAGACGCAAAAGGGGGGGCGCGTTCAACGGCGGGGTATCGACCGTTGGGGTATCGAGATATAAAGAGGTGGGGGCTGGCTGGCGCCCAGGCAGGCCACCGTGGCGGCGGTGTG